CACTAGTGTTTAGACTGGAAAGACTCCCCGAGTATCCAGAAAAATGAATAGTCAAAGATGCATAATCAAAGCAAAACTTGGTAAGATTTTGGAAAAACTGGGTTAAAGAAATGACTTTCATATATTTTATTGGTATAAAGATAGGATTTTAAAACCTTCTAGATTTTAATGGTTATTATTAAGAAGGTGAAAGATAACAAATGCTGACATGAATGTAGAGAAAGGAGAACCTTTTTACACTGTTAGCTAGAATGTAAGTTAATAGAGCCATTAAGGAAAACTGTATGAAGTGTCTCAAAAAATGATAAATAGAACTATTATACAATACAACCGTCCTATTTCTCAGTGTGTATACAAAGGAATTGAAATCAACATGCCAAACTCCCCATGTTTATATGTATTCACAATAATTGATATATAGAGTCAACACAAGTTTCTGTCAATGGATGAATGAATAAAAAAATATGACATATATATATATATATATATATACACACACACACACACACACACACACACACACACACTGGAATATTATTTAGCCTTAAAAGCTTTATCTATGACAGCATGGATAAAGCTAGAGGACCATATGCTAAGTAAAATAAGCCAGACAGAGAAAGACAAATACCATATAATCTCACTTATATGTAAAATCTAAAAATGTCCAATTCATATATGTTGGGAATATAACAGTGTTTACCAGAGGCTGGTGGAGGGAGAGAATTGGAAGTTATTGCTCACAGGGTACAATATTTCACTTAGACAGGAGCAATCGTTTTTATTTTTATTGGTGCATTATAGTTATACATAATAGGGGAATTTATTATGTCATATTCATACATGCACATAACACAATTTGATCAATCTCATTCCCCAGTAATTTCCCTTCCCTTCCCCCCTCAGGAGAATAGTTTTTAAGATCTGTTGCATAGCAGAGTTACTGCAGTCTATAATCATACATTGTATATTTCAAAACAGCTAAGAAAGCAAATTTCAAATGTCTCACCACAAAAATATAAGTGAGGTGAAATATATATTAATCAGTTCAATTTAATATTCCATATCATGTACATATATCAACACATCATATTGTACACCACTAATGTATACAATCATAACTTGTCTAATAATGCTAATTTCAAAGAAACTTGTACATTTAAAAATATGTCATATTCATAAGACCAGGAATCAGAATGACAGTGAACTTATCCACACAACACTGGAAGTCAGAACACAATGGAGTCATGCTTTCAGAATTATAAACAAAATTTATTTATAATCTGTGAAGTATGAAAATTAATTTAAAATATTTTTGAGACAAAGTTCTCAAAAATTTTGCTTCTTATGTGCTATTTCTTAAGAAACACTGAGAAATTTTGTTTCAAAAAATTAAGAATGTAAACTTGTAGAGGAAGAGAAAATCCAGGCACAGCCTGATTGACTTCCCATAATTAAGGAGACAGGGTGAAGAATGGAGAGAAAATAAGTTTGTAGAGTTCACAAGGCAGAAAACCAGAAAGTAAAGAGCTACAGTAAGAAAATTCTAGAGATCTTCAGAGGGTTTCCATCTAATATTCAACAGAATACTGATCAACATACACATGGGAAGACATTACCAGTGCTGGGGAAAGAATCACTTAAAAAGATTAGGGAGAACAATCTCTGATGGTAATATAGGGCCAGAAATAGTGGCAATATTGTCTGCTCCCACAGTGGTTCCAGAAAATCATGGATTCATGAGACACTGTATAAAGCACTCATAAGTATTTCACCTCAGTAGTGAGGAAAAACTATTCTAGACTAGACACTTCTCTGCTCTCATCTAATCTTTGCAGTGCTGAGGATGGATCCCAGGGCCTTGCACAGGATAGGCAAGCATTCCACTGCTAAGTAAGTATACCACCAGCCCTTCTCCTAACAAACCTAAAAACAAGTCTGAAAAGGATCAAGCTATTTTTAAGTAATTTGACTGTGTCTCAGAACAAAGTTTACAAATCTTTATAATAAAAAAGCCAACAAGATAATATTCACAAAGTTTGGCATCTGATTAAAAAAAACATCAAGATAAAATTCACAAAATTTGGCATCTATTAAAAAAATACCACATGCAAAGAATTAAAAAATACAACCCATCATGAAAACAAAATCAACCAATTGAAACTGACCCAGATCTGACACAGATGTTAGAATTAGCAATCACAAACATTAAAATAGTTATTAAATTTTTATTCTGTATGTTCAGAAACTAGAGGAAAGGCTGAATATCCTAAGTAGATATTTTAGAAGATATTTTTAGAAAGACCCAAACTTCTAGAGATTAAAACTACAATATTTGAGATGAAAAATACACTGGAGGGGGTCAAGAGCAGATTAGTCATTATAAAAGAAAAAGTTAATGAACTTGAAAAAATATCAGTGAAACACCGAGGGAAAAAAATCCAAAAAACAAACAAACAAACAAAAAGAACATCATTAAACCATAGGTCAACTTTAGGCACCCTAATACACAAGTAATTAGAATCCCTAAAATAGAAGAAGGAATTAGCCTAAAAATATTTGAAAAAAAAATAGGAAAATGTTGCCAAATTTGCATGTCAATTGATATCTAAGATTAAAAAGAGAAAATAAAAGTAGCAATGTAAGAATGCTATTTACAAATGTAAAGTTCATGCCCACTGAAATATCTAATAGAGTTGAAATTGCTTGGCTTTGTTGAGAAAATGTAAATGATGATATTACACTCTACAGATTTGAATCCAGCTTCTGCCCATCACTAGTTGGGTGATCTTAGGCAGGTTGCTTAACCTTTATGAACCTTGTTGTCTTATTTATAAAATGGTAGTAGTAGCAGAGTCTACCACATAACGTTTTTATGAGGATTAAATGTGTTAGTCCTTATAAAGACTTAGCATAGTACCCAACATAAAGTAAGGTGCTGTTGCTATTATTATTATTATTATTATAGATCTGAAATTATAAATGAGAAGATTAATATTTCTTTCAATGTGATTTGCAGTAATATCTTACTTTCTAATCATGCACAAGGTATCACTTGACATAAATATATTTAAAATATTATGGTAAATTAAGGGTGAGGACCTGGAAAGTCTTAAAAGTAGTTTAATGTGAAGAAAAGGAGAGGGATATGGTGACAGCTAGAGAGGATATGAGGAAAGGAAAGTTTCAGGGGTTTTTGTTTTTGCTTTCAGGTAGGAAAGACATTAGTGATTTTGAATGTGGATGTGAAGTCAACCAAAGAGTGGCAGAAATTGAAGCTATGGGAAAAAAGAGGGCATGTGGTGAAAGTACAAATGAAGGAACATCTCTTCATTGTACACAGAAAGAAGGTAGAAGTAATGGATGTAAATGTAGGTGTGTCCAGCACTTTGGTATGAGTAGATGAGGAATTTATAATTTCATACCCACCATTTTCAGTTTAAAAGGATGGGCAGGCATTTCCTGAGCTTAAGCAGGAAGGAGGCTGGGTTGCAATTTTGAAGCTAGTACAAAAGATTTAAAATAGTCAGTGTGGAGATGACTTAAAAAGGAAGTGGACTAAAGCAACACAACAAGATTTTAAGTCAGTACTTAAGGCTCAGGTCAGATGAGAAGCCACACATATTTGGTAAAATAGTACCAACCTGTTTGGCTATGTGATTTTTCCAGCAAAGTTCTGCAACTCAAATACAGGCATGAAAATGTTAAGAATAGGTGGAGTGATTCGGGGTTAGGATTTTATCAGGTGGTTGTGATAAAAGGACAATGAGCAATGGAATTGGGCAGATTGAAAAGAACAGCTGAAGGAAGAAATCACAGATCCAAAATAGGTTAAAGAAAGAAGTGAAGACAGGAAGTAGCTAGTAGGGAGGAAAAAAGAATAGGAGTCCAGTTTAGAAGTCCCAATGAAGTTCAAAAATAGAGATGCATTTGAAGCAAAGAGTTTTAAGCATGGAGGTTGTAATTAGAAAGTGGGATGCTTCACTTTATGATTTCAGTGCAACTCTGAGTGAGGATAAGGTTCAGCATGTAGTCCATGGGAGTGGGTGGATGAAGTGGAGCCAAGGTGAGAGTCACTGGAGGAACAGATGTTGGGGGGGGGGCAGTGCTAAATGGCTAGAGCATTAGATGGGTCAGTCATGTGGGTGCAGCTAAAGTCACCATAATCATGCACAGGCAATACGAAGAAGACTATGAGCCTGGAACCCAATTCTCCAATGAATGAGAGGGAGAAATCAGGAGGTTAAGTATGGCCTAATGATCTACTGTATCCCCTTGAAGCCTTGGAGATTATACTCAACAATGTTTCACTTTAGGCCATGGACTCTGCCAATAGTTTATAGATGGGCTTCTAAAAATCCATCATAAAATTATATACAAAATTCTCTGTGTATACATCTAAAATGCATTTTTTTAACATTTTTTATTAATATCTACACATGAAATTACAATGATCTTGGCAATTCATACATTTGTATCATTGGGGTATAATTTCTCATTTTTCTAATTGTACAGATTAAAATGCATTTTCTCCACTCTGGAATAAGGTTCATGACTTTCATCAGATTTTCAAAGAAGAAAGTGACTAAATAAAAGTCGAATTATCATTGCTCTAAATGTTTTATTAAAGCAAGAATTAAATAAAAACAATAGAAACTGCATGTACCCTTCAGAAAGGCACACACCTATCAATGTAACCAAAAGTTTCTCTGACCCTCCACCACTACCATCACAGAGAGCTCAAGCTCTAAGTGAGCAACAAGGAGAGAAAGCAATAGCTAGGCCTCATGTTTGGCTGCGCATTAAAAGAACTGGCAGGCTGCAAAGATGGAGAGAAGGATACAGAAATCCACAGGGAAATTTACCACTGAGGCTCAAGAATTACCTAGCTGGTAAAATCTTCAAATGGCAGCTGCTATATACATGCCTGAATATAATTCACTGACTTTAAGCTTGCCCCTTTTCACAATACAGGACATTTCAAAAGAATATAAGAAACCCACCTCTCAGCAATATTTTTTGCAGACTGTAGAAACCGTGCCTGGTCATTTTCTTTGAGGATATGCTCAGCTTGGTTGATGAGGACCGTTGACCGTTCAAGACACTGGCGGCAATTAGCAACCTGCTGTGCCAACTTTCTTAGTTTCATAACCTTAAAGGAATTAGTCAAAGAAAAAAATAAGGTAAAGACACAGCACTTAATTAAAAACAATAAAACAACTTGAAGGAGATCTGCTGCAGTGATTCTAAAAATAAGGCTTATTAATACCCCATGATCCCTTTACTAACCATTCACCTTCTCACCCCACCCACTAAAAACTCTCTTGCCAACCCCTCCTCCTCCAATCTACAGCTCCCTTACTTTTGTTGCACTCAGCCATGTACTCTGTTATCTACCTCCTCTTTATATTAATAATATTAATTTTACTGATTGTAGAAGCAGTCCATGCTCATTATAGAAAAGCTAAAAAGTTGAAAGTATAAAAAAGAAATGCTAACACCTAGAGATCACCATTGTTTACATTTTATTGTCAATATACTTTTGCACATAAATTTCATAAGAAGTACTTCATTTTTCTTTATGAGTATATATATTTCTATGTATATATTTCTCTAAATATATTTACACATACCTGTATGTACACAAATCTGTGTTCTTGGAAGCTTCCATTCCTGTTAACTGGAGCTACCCAGCGTGGCATAAAGTATTGGCCATCAAACCAGACTCTCATAACTTTTTACATTGTGCCCACAGCATGAGCTTATGATCACTAACACTGACCAGCAGGCCATCAAACCTAAAACCATATAGCTGCATGGAGGCTCACAGCTGATGTTTTGACCATGATTCTTCAGTTCCCAAGTTTTTAAAAATCTGGGAGTTTTTCTGGACTTCTCTCTCTCCTTCATCTTTTATACTTAAATAAATTGAATGATTCCAATCATTTTCTTGTTGGCACTACCTATTCTGTTCTTTCTTTCTGTGTGTGCTGTCTACATTCTGCTTTAGGTCTTCAACAATTCATATGAAGAATCATGTTGTAAGCCTCCTAATGTACTTCCCAGACTTCAGCATCAAAAGATCTGCTCTGCACATTCTGGCCATATCAATCAGTCTTCTAGAATGGCTTCCCAACACCATTCAGTCTAAAGCCAAAGTACTCATAGTGACATTCATGGTCTTTCCATAATTCTAACCAATATTTCTATCATTACTTGTTTTCTTTTTCTTTCTTTGTGTTCACTTACAACAAACAGTAAAGCACTCAGATCCTAAGTATACAACTCAGTGAATGTTTACACATATATACATGCATGAAACCAACAACTAGGCCAAGGTATAATATGTTTCCAGTATCCAGATCTGCTATACTTCTTATTGGATCCATAGCACTAGGCCAAACATTGCTTCTTTGCCTTTCTTCCTATAACCTCATTTCTTCTTGCTTTCATGATCTAATTTCAAACTGCAATCATCAGGATTCAACTCTTTCATTTCTAAAGAGTCAACTCTTCCTTGGATTCACTGAAGTGCTGTGCTTTACCTTTGTCTCTTTGATTTTGACAGCAATCATTTGCTTCCTCTGCTGGATGATCTCTACCAACTCGTCACATTCTTCCATAAGTTTTGCCTCATGCATAGCAGTATTCACCTGCCAAGAAAGTCCAGAGTATTACACAGTGATTGTTGCCTTTGTCCCCTGCTGGCTCTAAAAGATTCGGACTGACAGCTAAACATGCACAACTTCTTCCATACCTCCCTCGATAAGATCCACTCCTAGAAGAAGAGTAGAGATGATGATATTAATGATGCAAGGGCATTGAAGCACCACAGATAGGAAGCTCTCCGGGCCTCTGGTAGGTCATGATGGTTAATGGAAAGCTGGGCAGAAGGACAGATGAGATGGGGCATGTTATTCCCACTGTGCAATTCCCTTTACTCCAGCACCCTGACCTCCTGATGTTCTTTTGTAAAGAGGGTAAGGAGATTTATGTATGTCAGGAAAAGAGGATCCTTCTCCACAGGCACAATAATATTAAGATAACAATGCAACAATATATTTTTAGCTGTCCTCACCAAAAATGTTTTCAGTTTCCTTGTTCCCTTCTACCTTCTAAATATATGAATGTGCAGATACATTTTCACATTAAATATATGAATGTGTAGATAGAATTGAAAAAGAATACTATTTTTTATTGCCTTTCCATGGGTTGATTTCTTTTTCTACTCATCTCTATCACTAATTATATTATATGGTACAGAGCTACCAGAAGTGGCTAAAATGAGAGCAGGGCATTTGGAGGCTGCCTAAATGTAAAGGGAAAGAAAGGGACCAACAACTAACATTTTTTCAAACATTTAGTGTGCCAAGCATTTTAGAAATAAAAATTTCATATAATTATCCATATGACTCTATGACATAGGAATAATTTTTATTTGCATTTCAGACAGGCAAGCTGGGGCTCTGAGAATTTTAGTGACCTGCTCCAAGTCACATAGTTAGAAAGTGGTAAAACCAGAATTCAAACCAAGTTCTGTCAAGTGAAACCCTTTGGCAGGCTGGGTGGGCAGACGAGGTTCAGTTCCATTTCAGCAGCACACAGAGCAGTCACACAGGGAAGCACAATCATTCCAAGAGTCTATTCAAGGATCACTCGAGCAGAGCTCTAGAAGGCTGAGGAATAGACATGGGTTACTTGAGAGCATCAAAACTCAAGGGGCTACCTGTGTTTCATTAGCAAGGCAGGGCTGCATTTCTAATTGCTGTCTGTCTTTCTTTTACAAGGTTCCTCTACATACTTCAACCCCAGCAAGATATCTTTACCTGGAACCTGTTACCTCCTCTCCCAGCCTCTGAGGCCCCTACTGGATAATTTCCTGTTTCTTATTTAACCAAAATAAAATCTATTAGCCAGTGAGTGACAAACTTATTTTGCTTTATTTCTATGTTCCAGGGAGAATGGCACAATGGGAGCTTCCACTTATTTCAAGTGAACATTCCTACTCTGGCCATTGCACTTTCTTTTTCCTCTGACTACCCTTCCTTTCCCTAAATTGTATCTACCTTTCCAAGGCAGATATCTTAACATCTCAAGGAACTCACACTCATCCAAGAATAAGAGATTTATCTAATTCTCCTTGGGTCCTTGCTTAGAGTATCTGGAAACTTAGGCACTGCCCGTTTATAGTTTCTCTTTTTGAGTTGCTACTGGTGTAGTAAAAAATGGTGTGCAACCTCGTTACTTATAATTTAGTTCTTGAACTAATCTTTACACAACACTTATTCTATGCTAGACACTGCTTTACCAGTTTACAAATATCAGCTCTCTCAATTCTGAAAACAATCCTATGAGGCAGGTATCATCACTCCCCTTTGACAGGTAGGGAAACTTGAGCACAGAGAAATTAAGTGATTTGCTCAAGGCTACACAGCTAGTAGTGGTAGAAGTGAGATTTGGATCCAGGGAATCAAACACCAGAGTCTATATTTTTACCTGTTACACATATTGCCTCTCCAGATTAATATAACAACACATCTTTGATTTCTGACAATCATTATGTCTTTTTGTACCATTTATCTGTATCCTGTTATCCCTTTTTCTTTAGTCATATCAGAGTCCTTGCTGTTCCCCTAGAATGCAATGAACTTTCATGTTCTGTGACTTTGCCTATGATTACCCTTTTCCTTGGAAGGGCATGTCCACATTATTGAACAAACTTCTACTTATCTTTCAAAGTTCTATCCATGGTCATCACTTTTGTAACTTCTTCTCAGCTCCTCATACACAATCAATTGGTCCCCTCTTTATATTTCCATAGCACTTTATATATAATTCAGTAACACCATTTACTATCTTATAGCAATTGTGTTAGTCTGCTTTTCCCACTTAAACATGAATTCTGAAGGCCAGGAACTATGTCTTATTTGACTTTGTGTATCTCCAGCATAATGAATGACACATGGGATATGTTAAGTAAATATCTATTAGATTGAATTCAATGATGAATTGTTTTTGTTTTTCTGCTTGCTAGGCACATCCATTTGATCACCCAAGTTATCCTAAACTCTCTACACTATATCTAAAGACAAATATCATCTCCTCTCCTGATTTGTCCCTCACTCCTGACTTATTTTTTGTCAATGTTACTATGAGTACTACAGTTTGTCAGGTTCAGTAAAACTTTGACTTCTACTTCTCCCTCATCCCCCACATAAACTCACAACAGTCTTAAAGTCTTTCCATTCTTTTCAATCTTGCTAAGGCTCCTTTGGTAATAAAGTGATGATCTGAGCCAAGGAGTCAATAAATTGAGGCCTTCATTAATCACCCTTTTGGATTATTATTGCAATAGCCTTCTCAACTAATCTACCTCCAGCATCTTTCTTTACCAAAAAGCCAGAAAAAAAAACACCATCTTCATTGTCAAACTGGTATTAAACATATTTGTGTGCAATGCATTATGCTAAAGTTCTGCCCTCAATAAATTTATAATCTAGATGGGGAAGCTGCTTATACATGTAAAACAAACCAGTCATGGTAGCAGAAGTTAAACACCAAATAAATGATGTAGAGTATAATCACAGAAACTGAAAGGAAAGATCAGACCCTCAGTGGGGAAATGGAGAAAAGATGCATGAATGTCATGGGACTTTGATTGAATCTTAAAGATGGAGTAAGATTTAGATTTAAATGTAAGAGTGGGGGTATATTTCAAACCATGCAATAGGGTTTGTGTAAGATAACATATTGCCAAACTTTATTCTTCAGGCAATATGCTATCTTTGAAAAAAATAGTTTTGAATAGAGAGAAGGTAATGTGATGGGAGGATGACCACAGTTGACTTTTGAGAAGAGAAACTGGGATTGATGTGATGGGGGTAATTGCAACCTTACGGGCAAGTTAGGAAGCTATAGTGATGTGAACAGGGCCTAGCCAGGGGGGATAACAGGAATAGAAAGGAAAGGTCAAATAGTCCCTTGCTGAAAAATCTAGAGAACAAGCTCCAAGGAAAGGAAAGGCTTTTACGCTACTTTGCTCCTCCCTTGGTACCTGGCCTTAAGCTTTACACACAGTGAATGCTTATGAAACATTTTACTGATTACTTTAACACAGTAGAATATCAAAATGATAATGCCAAGCATTAGAAAACACACTTTCGTAAATGTATTTTGTAGATAAAATATAAGTTAAAGGGTGGGAGCTTGTGCAAGAAGGGTCTTTGGACAGCAGCATCAGGGGAGATAAAACAACCCAGAATGACTGGTGGAGCGGAAGTTTGGCTGAAGAGGCAAAATCCCAAACTGAAGGTAAAGAGTGGCATTAAAATCTTTCCATGTCAAGAAGCAGCCCAAAAGAGCAGGGTATTTAAGTGTTTTCTGAACAGGAAATACTCCAGGGGAAAAACTGCCTTCATGATGTGAATAAAACAACTTAAATTGCTTGGAAGGCACTTGAAAGCCCAGATGTTTTGTTTGAAAATGCAGTAAGGTATTTCACATGCATATTAACCCCTAATTGGAAATAACTGGGGCTATCTCCTTAAGTGTCCTTGGTTGGTTGTTTTATGGAAGACCCCAGCTCTTTATTTGACCTTTGCTCTTTGTTTGGGGTTAGTGGGTTTGATTAAAGTGCTTTATGTCTATGGAACAATTTATCCTCCTTGAAAATACCATTAGGGTAATTTTTGTCAATCTACTTATGCAAATCTACCCACCTCAAAAAAAAATACCTCTAAGAGGCAGTTTGTGATGCTTAAGACTAAGAGCCCCAGCCTCAATATTCCAGGACCTAAGCCCTAGAAACACAGGCTTCCCTTGTAAGTCCCCAGGTCCTCATTCTGCTCTGTGCACTTTTACTTTCTTCCCAAAGATGACAATTGTTTTCAATTTGTGTTATTTCTTTCAAACTGCCCATTCTACTCTACTTCCTGAAATTCTTTCTTACCTCCCAGCCCAAAGAATGACTGTATAGTAAGACCTCCAGTCCTCCCAAAATTCCACTCTTCCCTAATGCAAACACACAAGTCCTTTGTTGGAAGAATTTTACTGCTGGTCACTATGAAGAAATAAACTTAACAAACAACCAAAAGCCATTTTGGCAATTGTTTCAATTTTGTATTAAAATGTAAGTGGGAGCTGGCATTGTGGCTCAGTGGTAGCATGCTCACCTAGCAAGCACGAGGCCCTCGGTTCAATCCTCAGCACCACATAAAAACAAATAATAAAGGTATTGTGTCCAGCTACACCTAAAAAAAAAATATTTTAAAAATGTAAATGGACTAGATCTTTGTACCCTTAACTTCTTAAAGAGAACTTATTTGATAATTTTTAAGAGGTCTCTCATATGTTTGTTCTATAGGACTTTTATTCCTATGATTAAAGTTCATCAGCCTTGCTGGGATTGGTGGCTCACACCTATAATGTAATTTAGAGGGCTGAAGCAGGAGGATCACAAATTCAAGGTCAGCTTCAGCAATTTAGCAAGGCCTTAAGCAATTTAGAGATACTCTGTCTCAAAACAAAAAGTAAAAAAGACTGGGGATGTGGCTCAATGGTTAAGTGCTCCCGAGTTCAATTCCTAGTAAAATAAATAAATAAAGTTTATCAGCTTTCCCTCCGTATTTATACCCATGAGAAACTTCCCCATTCA